AGACAGAATGTATAAATACGACCTTGAACTTTGACCTTTTGACCTCAAAATCAATAGGGGTCTTCATTAGGCCACAGGGAGTTGCTATGTAAAATTTCATTGCAACAGCTCAAATGGTTCTAGAGATAAACGTGGAAACGAAAGTGTTACAACAGACAGAATTTGCTTATTTATTACCTTGACCTTTGACCTTTTGACCTCAAAATCAATAGGGGTCTTCTTTAGTCCATAGGGAGTTGCTATGCTAAATTTCATTGCAAAAGCTCAAAGGGTTCTCGAGATATCGTGTGGAAACGAAAGCGTTACAGACAGACAGAAAGACGGACGGACAGAGGGACGGACGGACGGACAAACCCAAATTAATATCCCCCACTTTTCAAGCGGGGGACAAATAGGAGCAGAGCAAACACGGACCTCCGAAACATCAGAGGTGGGATCAGGTGTCATGGAGGAGTGAGTCTCCCCTGCTGACCGGTCACATCTGCCGTGTGCTCCTTGTCATGATCGGGAAATAATGGAAAAATCTGTCGTCAATTCAGTGTATAAATAATGGACTAACAATTAGTGTGAGAAACGTCAGTCAGCATTTGACTCAATGAAAAACTGTATTTGCTGACAAGGTCATTGTATCGACCATAGAACTTACGAAATGATGACTTTAAACGAGACTGCTGATATTCTTGTTTCATCAACTTGCTTGTCAATAATTTACCTCGTTTTAGAAATTGTTCACATGTAGAGCATGCTCTTGCGTATCGAATCAACTGAGATATATATACTCTGTATGCAGGTGAGGAAGGTATATTGCTGCATAAGTAAGGGGAAGTTGACGATAGAAAAGTTAAAGTCATCACGTTTATCATAGAGCTTGGTTGTTAGATTACCATTAACGTCTTTTTCAAGTAAAATATCCAAATATGAAACAGATGTGTCAGACTCTGTGGTATCTTTTATCTCAAGCTCACCAGGATATATCGTATCGACGTAGGAAAGGAAATTAACATTGTTAATTGACAATACGTCGTCGCTATATCTAAATGTCGAGTTGAAGGCCACACCATATTTTCTTCTTTTCACGCATAATATTTTGCACAAATTCTGCTTCATATGAATAAAAAAATATGTCTGCTAATAACGGAGCGCAACTCCGTTACTCAAAAGATGCTTAAGATACTAATTTGCAGCTGGGAAGTAAAAATACAGAGAAAATTCATGACAGGTCTGGGAATCGAACCTGGGACGCCTGCATTACTAGTTAGATGCTCTACCATTGAGCTACCCAGTCCGATATCCACGGTCCTAAAAGCCCCAAACTGCTACGAATTCACAAAAGAAATGCAAGTGTTTATTGATTGGCAGATTTTTGTCTTCTGTATATCAAACATTCGGTACAATTGATTTTTCATTTTTAAGATCGGTGTAATTGACTTTTTTTGTTTCCCACTTTCACTGAAAGTAGAAGTTATTAATAATTTGGATCCATCCATCTGTCTGTCTGTGTTCGTTCGTTTCCAGATCATATTTCAAGAAGACTGGGTTTTCGCAATGAAATTCCAGTGCACGATGTTTTTTCGATATTGTCGACATCGCTGTAAAATTACCAGTCCTCCTAATAACATAACATATTCAACATGATAATGTTTGATAACACCTTTGTTTATTTCCCTATATATTACATTAATTACGATATTGAGTCCACATCTTGTTAACATTGCCTTCCCCTTTTCTATTGTTTACATCGTTCACTTCGTCGACATCGCAATGTTGGTCAGTATCGAGTCGAAATTGTATCAACATTGCCTTCTTATTTTTCTTGTTTACATCATTCACTTCGTAGACATCACAATGTAGTTCGATATCGAGTTGACATCGTGTCAACATTGCCTTCTTATTTTTCTTGTTTACATCGTTCACATCGTCGACATCGCAATGTTGGTCGATATGGAGTCGACATTGTCTACAATGCATTGTGGACGATGTCTACATCACTGTAGAAACAATACGAATGTAGACGATGTAAACGCGAATTCTTTTCAATATTGTTAATTGCAATGTCGACATACAATGTAGAAATAATAATAATGTAGACGATGTAAATGCGATATCACATCAACATTGTTTACATTGCGAGGTCGACGATGTAGTCATGTAGAAACAATATAACAATGTAGAAGACGTAAACGTGATATCGCATCAACAATGTTTACATTGCGAAGTTGACAATGTCGACATTCAATGTCAAACTTAATCACTAGTCATGTTACATTATCTTTAATATAGAATTGTAATCAATGTTATCATTTTGTAATAATTGTTCATGCCCCCCGTGGGCCCTTGATTGGTGAATAAACATAATAAACATAATAATACAATGAAAGAAATAGAACAATGTACACGTAAAAGCGATAACGCATCAACATCGTCTACCCTGCAATGTCTTCATAATAAATAAAAACAATGTAGACTATCTAAACACAATATCATGTCAATATTGTCGTCATTGCGATGTCGACAATATCGAATTGATAAAGTGAACTGGACATGAATGAAATTTTACGCTGAAACTCCATATGGCATTTAGAGGTCAAAGGTCAATGTACTGAATTTTTACAATCCGTTTGTATGGAACACTTGTTTTTGTATGGTATCATAAAAAAAACTTCAAGATTTTGCATTGAAATACCACGACTTCCTATCGTCTAAGTAAGATCTTTGTTGATTTAGAGGTAAAAAAAAATCTCAGATCAAGATCTGAAATCTATATTTTTCATATTCATATTCCTTTGATTGCTTTCCTCAACAAAATTTATTATCACAACTCCTTATGATCTAAAGAAAATTTCCATATATTTGAAGTCCGAAGGTCAAAGGTCGAGGTAATAAATTCTATATCACGCGGCATAAGGAAGAATCCTCTTGATTTTGAGGTCAAAAGGTTGAAGACTAAGGTCGGAAAATTGTACACTGCAAATAAAATCTTCCAGATGATAACTTCAGTTTTCTTTGAGCTTTGATTATAATTCCACTTGCAGTCAAAAAAGACCCATCGATTTTTAGGTATCAAGGTCAAGGCCATAAATTCATACATTTTATCTGTGTATCACTTTTATTCCTAGTCTATGTCTAAACAAGATGTGTTTGTGAAACACTGATCGATGCCCCTGTATGGCAGCTTATTGCGAGGGTTGAATTCTCTCGAAAGTCAAACTCCAAAGGTCAAAGTCAAAAGGTCAACACTGTTGGTACCCAAAGGAAAGGTCTTCTTACAAGGAATACATCTGTGAAATACGAAAACCCTACTTTTAACTGTTCAAAAGCTATGACCAAAGTTACGTTTTAAAAAAAGTGGGTAAAACTCTCAGGAGGTCAAGGTCAAAAATATTTATACCAACTAAAAGGTCTTGTCACAATAAATACACTTGTGAAAAATGTCCTAGCTCCAACTGTTCAAAAGTTATGGCCAAGGTTAAAGTTTGATATTTTTTGTTGTTGTAAAAGTTGGTCAAAGTCCAAGGTCAAGAGGTCAAATTTGGTGGTACCCAAAGAACGGTCCTGTCACAACGAATATAACTGTGAAATAGGAAAGTCATAGCCCCACCCATTCAATAGATATGGGCTAGTTGAATGTTGACAACAGACACACAGATAGACAAGCAGACAAACAGACAGGACAAAAACAATATACCCCCGGAATCTTTCGATTTGGGGCATAAAAATAATACACTTTTTAAACTGAGTACAAAATCGTGCCCTTTATTTCAAGTATGGTCAGTTAATTTTTTTTTTCTTTGCGTGTTGGATTTCTTTGGAAAGTTGTTCCGTCCCCAGACTTTAAAACTATGCAGAGGGCCTGCTCATATGTTTAAAGTTTTCAGTACTGAACTGATTATACCCAGTGTGCTCGGGTGCAGCGATGTGGCCGTTGAACCTCTTTTTTATACGCAGATTCTTTAGGCTGTGTTTTTGTTCTGGATCACATACTGCCGACATTCCCCATTCTATAAATATTCAGATGTTCTGTGTGTGTAGATTTCACAACAGCTCCATACAACGTTATACTGTTGATTATGATCACACGAAATAAACTTAAAATATTGATAGACATTTAAAAGCATTTTGCAATTGACATCGACCCGACTCATTTTTTCCCACCCGGTCGACGAATTCAGACATGTTTCAGTATATACCGATTCCATGACAGGGGTTTAAATCAGTTCCGTTGTAAACAACAGAGGTGGAGACGACCCCGATATACAGCGCAGAAACAGGTGAGGGACGTTATAATTCTTGATAATGGTGTTCATGTGTCGTGTAGATCGATAGAAAATTGGAGTTACTGGAATTATTTTGGATGGAGAGTAGTTATTGTCTTATCCGTAATTGCCAAACACAACACTGAAAAGTCAACTCAACCCTTTTCCATCAGCATGGTCAGACAACACTAGAAGGTATCTATTACGAAATCCGTACCGCTTTCACTGTGTATTTTGTTTTAAAGATTTTTAATGCCTTGCATGACTGATAGATCATAGACAAAAGTCAGATAACTATGGAACGCCGTCACTGCCTTATAGCATAAAACTATGCATTCATTATGTCAATCTATCATTACGTGATGTGAACATATCTTTACGTTATGTCAATTTCTTATGGGGTGATGTAAAAATATCTTTACATCATGTCAATGCTGCATTACATGAAGTAAACACATACTTCCATTATGTCAGCACTTTATAACTTGAAGTCGGAAGTTCATTATATGAAGTGAAAATATGTTCACATTGTGTTAAAACTTTATTACGTGAAATGAATGTTTCTTTATATTATTTCATTTCTTTAATATGTGAGGTCAAAATTGCATTACGTCAAGTAAATTTGTTTTATAATTAAACTTATCATTACATGAAGTCAAAAGTCCATTCCTTTTTGAGAATGTATATGTCTATTATATCAAAGCATTATTACGTGATATGGATTTATCTTTATTTTACGACGAGAGCATCATGATGTGAGGTGAACACATCTTACCTTTATGTCAGTGCTTTATTACGTGGTGTTAAAAGTGTATAACGTAATGTGAACATATCTTTATATTAAATCAATACTTTATTACATTATGTCAAAACTCCATTCCGTGATGTGGATATATAATTACGTTATGTCAACTCTTTCTTATGTGATTTAAAAATATCTTTATATTGAGTTAACTCTTTATCATGTTGATTCCAAAAGTTTTGATGTGAAAATACATTTACATTATCTGAAAGATGTATATCTAGTACATGTATAATAATGAATGTTGACGACCGTGTTTTAATGACTCGTAAGAGGGGGGGGGGGGGTCCCGATTGAGTAGGACGAATTATAGACACATAATATCAGCCCCCTCTTTTCCCAGAAAAACCTTATTTTAGAAAATGTCATGTTTATTGAAAGTACAGCCCCCACCCCCACTTGTTGTTGAAGTATAGTCCACTAGGGGTAATGTAGTATAACTGAAAAATATAGGACTGATCGAAGTCGGACCCCCTCTCCGAAATAGGATTTTCGGGCTTGGACAATTTTTTTGGCTTGTCGAGTTTTTTTCGGGTAAATAATTTTTTTCTTTCTGGCTGACATCCTCTTTCAAATAAATGCTATGTCACGGAATTAGTTACAGTAAATTTTTCAACCATTCCAAAACCAGAATTCTGTTATAAAAATCTACCAGTCCCTCTTCTAAATAAATTGAATATGCCTTAATAAGCATGCATGGGCACATATTTGTGGCGCATATGGGAATCTTGAAAAAAGAAGGGGGACGGTATAGAGTTGGTGACCAAAGGGGGAAAGCGGAAAAACTCCCCGGCAGGCTTTATAGTTTTATAGAAAAAAAGTTTTCAATTTAATTCAGCTAAACTTAATGTGAAAGTAATGCAATGTCCTACATTGTAAAACTAATAGATTTATTAATTTTATGTATATTTTGGTGACTAAAGATGGTAGGGCGGATTTCTGCCCCCCTCCCCAACCCGCCAGTGCACGTGTGTTATACGATATATCTGTTTACACTTTAAAAAAGGAGAGTTAAAGACTGATAAAAAATACAGTGTTCTGAGTAAGATCAGAAGTTTAAGATTTTTATTTTAAAAAAAAAGCAATTCAGAAAAAAAAAAATGCTGCACGACTCATATTTGATTTATTTAATTATCAGATAAAAGTAAACGCCATTGAATTTCGGCGCGTGACTTTAATTCACAGTCGCAGTGTTAAGGCTTTGCATGTTTCAAGATTGTCAATCATTTTTCGCTTAAAGTTTTCATTTAAAGATGCAATTCCCAAATCGCTGAGAATTTAATTTATGACAGTTTTCTCTCCCGCCATTTTTAGTGCTTTCGGAAAGCGGAAAATACGTTATGCTCATATAAAGGCCGAGGATACCCGTGTTCGCATAACGTAATAGTGAATCGACATAATGTAGAAGAGTGCGCACAGTATGACATGAGCTTTTCACATCTGATATGAGATGAAATAGCCTAAGATACATGTATGCTGACAAGAGGCTTAGCATTTTTGACACAATGTAAAGATACAATGACATAACGTAATAACGATTTGTCAAAAAGTAAGGGCAAATTCACATCATGAAATTGATTCACGTCGTCATGTAGCATATTGAAGGCATAAAGTAGTAAAAGAATTGACCACATGTGACAATTTTTTCAGATAATGTAATGAAATTCTGACATCGTATTATAGCGAATTGATATTGAGTTAAAGATGAATTCACATCATGTAATGAACTACTTAGACCAAATAGTAGAGAGTGCACATAATGTAATAATGAGTTGAAAATATATAAAAACATTTTTACACCACGTAAAATTGTTTTGACTTAATGTCATAAAGAGCTGATATAATGCAATGGAAGATTGGCACAATGTTAATAAAGTACGAGTTAATGCCATAAAGACTAAACATAATGTAATTGAAAGTTGACATAACGCAATAGTAGTGTGTGTAATTGACATAAGGAGTTGACATAGTGTAATGAAAGGTTGACACAATGTAATAGTAGTGTGGACTAATGTCATAAAGAGTTGACATGATATAATGGAAGGTTGACATAATGCAATAGTATTGTGGGTTAATGTCATAAAGAGTTGACATAATATAATGGAAGGTTGACATAATGCAATAGTATTGTGGGTTAATGTCATAAAGAGTTGACATAATATAATGGAAGGTTGACACAATACAATAGTAGTGTGAGTAAATGTCATAAAGAGTTGACATAATGTAATGTAAGGTTGACATAATGCAATAGTAGTGTGAGTAAATGTTATAAAGTGTTGACATAATGTAATGGAAGGATGACGCAATGCAATCGTTGTGTTCTGCTATAAGGCAGTGACGGCGTTCCATAGATAACGATTGTAAATTAGTGTCATTATCGAAATCTACAAATGTACATATTAAGAAAGTAAACTGAAAGTAATGCACCATTCATCCTCAAAACATCTAGGATCCTTAAGCATGTTATTAAGCCACTCGTGGCCGTGGACCCTTGACAAAATTCGTTTCAGGGACGTAGCATCCGGGGGGGGGGGGCAGGGGGGCCGGCCCCCCCCCCCCACTTTTTTCCCCAACATAACCTTTACTGTAGTAAATGTTCATTGATAGGATGTTTGGCCCCCCACTTTCTAACCATAGTATAGTGATAACAAGGATTGTAGGGAAAAAATTGGAAGTGATAGTAAGTTGGCTTTGAAAAAGTTTTTCCACTACCCCCCCCCCCCCCCCCCAAAAATTTTGGTTTTCTTTTTTTTTTCTTTTTTTTTTTTTTTTTTTTTGCTTGTCAACTTTTTCAGGTAAGTAAAAAAAAATTCTCTGGTTGGCCCCCCCCACTTTCAAAATCGATGCTACGTGCCTGCGTTTCATCTTTTATATCACAAATATATGAAATATTGTCAGTTTTTATTCATCAATACAATCAAAATATCTACATTATAAAAGCTTGATTTCAGATCACTCCGACGCAACTTAGATATTTAGTAAGTATCTAAGTGGCGTTGGATGATCTGAAATCAAGCTTCCGTTTTTCTTGATCTGCAATCAGAAAAGTAGCTGGAAAACATAATTTTGAGCCACGTATATTCTCAATTTTAGTATCTTGTCTTCAATTATTTTAACAAATATAGTCTGTTTACAGAAAACACTCACCTGAAGATGCTCCAGAAAAGCGCGCCAAAGAATGGCGGATGATCTGGAGAGAATCCCCCTAAATAAGTGGAACCTATTGAGTGGTGCGTTGCTAACACTGTTGGTACTTGGCATTGGTGTGACATTCCTGTTTATTGGAATTTTCGAGGATATCGAAGACTTGGTTATATTAGGGTCCATATTTTTAGTGTTCACAGTTTTCGTGGGCATCTGTGTTTTTTCAACAGTAATTCGCCCTTACATTAAGTCTGGGCGGGTTGAGGACGAGGATTTTATACGGTCCTACAAACATGAGAGTGTCGGATTTTCTCGGAGTGACAATGACTTGAAGTCGACGGCTGCTTCGTTTGAGCGCATTCGGATCGACAGCGAGGAGGATGGACAATCCATCCACGGAGAGAGGCGTGCGGAGAGTGTTATCGTGGATGTCAAATCTAGAGCAAATAGTGCTCACAGTTTGCAACCGCCGACTGAAACTTACGGACAGAAGAAACGTGTAACTTTCTACTGAGATTAATTAAAACGGGTACCGGTATACTCTGACGTCAGATCTGCATGGGTTTCGTGACATTTACCTGAAAATGATGACTAGAGGGTATTTTTTTTATATTGGAACAATAACCGTCCTCATAGAACGCTAGATCTTGAACTTCTGTATCATAGTCTTAGAGCATCAATTGGAAGATTACTGCGATGAGTATTTCTTTGCAACATTCGATGTCTCCCAGTCTATTGGTCATGTTCTATACATTACTTTAGGAATATTGTATTAATGTCTTTCATGTAGACTTTAAACGAGAGTCAGACAATGCACTCTGGCAATGTGCAGTCTTACCATTAATCCATCAGTTTCGTATTTGTTTTTATTTATTGTAATCATCCTTTCTTTGCAACAGATTTCAAATATGTCTATTTTGAGATTTTTTTTTTTAGCAAATACAGAATATTTCTAATGAAATTTGTTGCGTTTCATTTCTTTTATAAAACCGAAAGAAACATGCAGACATAAAGTTTAATCTCAATTATCTTTTTGAATATTTCTATAAAGTTTTACGAAGATTTGCTGTCCAAAAAGAATTGAACACTTATTAACATTGTAGTATCTTTGAACAAAACTTGACATGCATGTACATTTAACAGTAACTAGAAATATAATTCAGGGAGTTCACCAAAAACTGATTTAGTAAAATAAAGAAGTTGTGACACATAATTTGAAGTTCAGTGACGATATTTTTAAGATGACCGTTTGGTTTGGTTTGGAACTTTACCTATAACTTAAGCGACATTTGATTATAAGTACAGAATTTAAATATTCTTCTTCAAATCTGTCCTCTTGTAGGAAATGCAAAACAGTACATATTTTCCTGGGTATGTGTACATGTAATTATATATTCACAATATTGAGAATCGTAAAGTATGCTTGCAATTCGGTTTAACTTCAAGCAACTGTTAGAAAATCCCTTTGATATACTAGCATACTATACATTTTTATGTCAACAGTACATTTTATAAGACGTGAAGATTTGTAAATTGCACATCATGATTATTTAGGTTCTCTTTCATATACCTGGATTCTGATTTGACCTCGAGAAACTGTTGGAGAACCCTTTTAATAAACTTATAAAACCTGAATGCACGTGTAAAGAACACCACAAAACATAAGAGATGATTTGGCTACTGTGTAAAACAAGGAGATTTCTTGGAATCGGGTGTCCTCAGAAAGAACGTCAAATGGCATCAGGGTTGAAAATTTTGAAACATTATTACACATGCTTCTACAAGACACCAACAATCATTCTCTTTGACACAATTTGTATACTAGTCTATAGTACTGTATGTAAAATGCAAAAGGGGGTTATTAGAAAAAGGTATTTGAACAAGGACTTCATTTTTCAACCCCAAAAAGCTCCTAGATGAAAAAAGAAAAGTCCGAAACCTTATTGCACATCTGATGACCTCGGCAATCAAATTCAAATAAACGTGGGCTTCATTTCGAGATAATTCCTTGAAACTAGCATTACATAACAAAACATAATTTTTTGTACCCCAATGGGCATTTTAGGTGAAAACGAAGACAACCACGTGATATTCTAAAGATGAATAAGCTACAATAACTATTTTTGGTTTAAAGTTATTTTTTAAACTTTAAATGTACGAGGAATTTTTGGAAGACGATAGTGTGACAGACAGACAGACAGACGGGTGGAGCTGTTTAACAAAACTTTACCAGAGTGTAGATATACATGTACTTATATTGACTCTAATTTCATTTTCATTTGCCACATAAAAAAAGAACAAAGAAAAATGACGATGATGAGTACCTCAACTGTAGCTACAGTTCTGCTGCTTCTTGAACTGGTAATGTCTGTTTTCCCGCCAAATGTCAAAGGAAGTCGATTTTTTTGGTCAGATTCCACTATATTTTAATCATTACAAGATGTTTTGTGTTTATAGACTTGTAGGTTATAAATTTAAAGGTCTTAAAAATTATTGATCTCATGCAATCAGGAGTGAATTTCGAAATGAAGTATTTATGTCAATAGCAATCATTAATTCGTAAAAAATGGAAATTCTCGTCAAGGTCTGTAAATAACGTAAACAACATTATTTATATATGTATTACGGGGAGATTTTCCATGGCGCGGCTCTCCAGTGTTTTGGCTGCAGCCATCAGTATTGTTCTTGGTCTCTCTATCGGACTTGTTCTGTTAATTATAGGAATCGTGAAGGACATTGAGGATCTTATCATTCTGGGTGGACTGTTCCTGGGACTTTTGTTGGTTTTGGTGATGTTCATTGTCATCTCTGTGAACAAGAAATCGTACCTGTTCTTGGGTAGATCGATTGTTTATCGTAGCGACAAACTTTGGAATTCAGGTGTGCTGCATCGTAGCAAACCACGTCCAAAATGTTTGATCCTCTCCCATTCTGGTAGGAGAGAGCCATTTATATGCGGACTCGACCGTGGCTTTAGACGATGTCTGTGCAGTAGCACCTTCTCGTTTTTTAAGGATCTGCATGTATGTTTTTAGCTTTTTGTATTCTCTAAGTGATTTACCGTTAATGAAGGTTTAATACCGTAGTCTAGAGGACGTGGACTTCCTAAGATCTCTAGACCAATGCTGGACTCTGGTTTTCGTGAGATTGTTCATTTGAGCACGTTCAAATACTAGTAACCATCGGACAGACAGATCGAGCAAGAGACTTAAAATTCACTTTCCCAGCAAACAAAAAATTTTTTGAAGAAAAACCGCAGCCTATAATATGACTTTGTTGGCTAATTTACTCTCATAAACTTTATAATTTGTGCATATGCACAATGTTGTTATAAAATAAAGATTTGGTGAAAGATTCATTAAATTCCATTCAGTAGTGGAAGGAGTGTTGTGACTAAATAACCGATGGCTACTACCCCAAGTGCACGGACGGAAGGATGCACGAACCTTCACACTACATGTATTACAATATACCTTTTCAGACGATGGGTATAAAAATTGCATACCATAAAAAAAGTCTAGTTGAAAAAAATCTGGATTCTGCTTTCAGTTCCTCGTAAACAGGAATAATTGCTTTTCAAATACATTGTATACATAACTGCAGTCTTTGCAGATGACTTTTCACGCAATAAACCTTTATTGATTACTTTTTATCAAAGTTTATAGACAATAACAGGAAATATTTTTAGAACCCCTTCTTTGAAAAATTCATTTTTTGATCAAAAATTCTTCCTGTCTTTTGTCCATAGAATGACATAGAGAATGTAGAATAAGATATAAAGACCTGTAAGCATAAAATGTCAAATTAACACATCTTTTTATGTAATCGGAATAATAGACCCGCAAGTATCTTTTAATTCAAGCCAACACGACCTAGAAGATCGATGATCAAAATGTTAGGGACATCAAACTAATCGTTTATGAAAAGGCTTTAATTTACATATGAGAAGTCGTTATGTTTGAACAAGTTCTGAATAAGTTCTAAATTTAAATGCCGTAAAGACCATTACTTTGTTGTGTATTTTGTAATACATTTTTTTTTACAGTAAATGGTGCCGCTCTGTTTATGAAAAGCTGAAAAAGTTTGGCTAAGGTTCACAGGCAACGAAAACGACATGCCTTGGGGGTGCTCTTCATGGCGCAGCTTTCCAGCGTGTTAGCCGCGGGCTTCAGCGTTGTCTTCGCTCTGGCCGTTGGATCCGTCCTGTTGGCACTCGGCCTCGTGAAGGACATTGAAGATCTTATTATTCTTGGAGGACTGTTTCTGGGACTTACATTGGTAATGGTGGTGTTCATATGTATATCTATGAAACAGAGGAAGGAGCCAGAATTCGCACCTGTTCCCGGGTAGTTCTGTGGAATATTTACACAGAAAATCGTGACGTCACTGCATTCATTATGAACATCGATTTACAGTCAGTGTTGTATGGCATTTAGTTACGTTTTGTTTATACCAGCAACAATTCCGTTCTCTTGTTCTTTGTGCCATTTTTTTTCAATCTCAGTGTAATTTTATGAAAACAGTGACTTAAATGTTATTTTCAACAGAATTTCATTTAAATAGCATTATGTTGAAAATTGATTGTCAAATTTTGAATAGAGAATACACCTCAAAGTAAAATCGATTCGGATAATCGGATTTTGAAATACCGAATATTTAAAGACACATGATATATCCAATATGACTTCTTTGGATCCGCCAAGTTACTCCAGATTCCCTTCGCAGGTGGAGGGCAAGACTCAGGTGAACAAGATAAAAGTGACTCCAGCTTCAAATGTTCTAGCAGAGCTGCAGCGTGCAAGAACTGCCAAAGAGCAGAAGAACAGATTATATACTGTCGTCTGCCTCCTTTGTATAGGAGTTATTGTATTTGGTGGAGGAATAGCACTTGTTGTGGTGGGTGATTCGGAAAATATTGAAGACTTTATCATTGTTGGAGGACTTTTTCTTGGACTAGGCGTTGTGTTTCTGTTGGTAATGACATTAACTTTATTGAAGCCAATTCGAGACAGGAAGAAAATAGCAAATAAGGAATCGTTAAAGAGTGATTCAGAAAGGAAGGGGTACTTAGACAACCAAAATACTCAAATTGACTCTCCGGACGAGGTGAAGCGACGTCCTAAGCCTTCCACTAATCAGTTGTATGGGTACGACAAACTGAAAATTCACTTACCCGGACCGGAAGTAGTCCCATCACCTAAAAAACACAAGCACAAAGAACCCCCACCCCCTCCCCCACTCGTCGCCTTCCCGAGCCAGGGGAACACCCAAAATCCCGTGATGATCTCTTCGTTACAAAGGGAGCAGACTCTTCATAATAGTGATGATAAAATACAAAGGGAACCAACTTTTAAGAATGGTGATGATAAAAATTCCCATGCAGAAACTCCTTCACCGTCACGTGATAGTGGACATGATGTAGTTTTTTATTAGTCACTGGATATTATTTTGCAATGTGCCAATTTCTGTTTTTCTTTCATATTTGTTTATTTATATAAGTAGAGGTACATGTTGCTTCTGAATTATCACTCATGACAACTTGTATAAAAATCTTTTCATAGTTATGTTTGGTATGTTAATACAGAAAAAAATACTTCTATGCATAATGTTCTTTTATAGAAAATAAACATTGTTACAATATGTGAAAAATATGTCAGCCGTAAGGCCATCTTTAATCAATTTTTGCTTGCCCTCTCCCGGCTCAGGGTAAAATTATTAGGTGACTTGGTAAGTGGAAAAAATCCTTTTTCCAGAAAAGTTCAACATATCTGTTGACGGAATGATAGGAATTTAAAAATACATGTATGTCGTTTCCTTGAATGTAAAAAAAAGTTTTGAGTTCAGTCGATTGGGAGAGGGCAACCAAACAACCTAAATATCCCTGCTTAAATTTCCAAGAGCATGTATTTGTAAGCGCTAGCTTGCTGCGCATCCCAGTGGCTTATTT